CACAGTAAAATAAATGCTGCAGAAAGGGGTGCTGTAAGACGAGATGCTGCAGGAAAGGGTGCTGTAAAAAGAGATGCAGTAAAAGAAATGCTGCAGAAAGGGGTGCTGTAAGAAGAGATGCTGCAGGAAAGGGGTGCTGTAAAAAGAGACGCAGTAAAAGTAAATGCTGCAGAAACGGGTGCTGTAAGAAGAGATGCTGCAGGAAAGGGTGCTGCAAAAAGAGATGCTGCAGGAAAGGGTGCTGTAAAAAGAGACGCAGTAAAAGAAATGCTGCAGAAAGGGGTGCTGTAAGAAGAGATGCTGCAGGAAAGGGTGCTGTAAAAAGAGACGCAGTAAAAGAAATGCTGCAGGAAGGATGCTGTAACAAGAGATGCAGTAAAAGAAATGCTGCAGAAAGGGGTGCTGTAAGAAGAGATGCTGCAGGAAAGGGTGCTGTAAAAAGAGACGCAGTAAAAGAAATGCTGCAGGAAGGGTTGCTGTAAATAAGAGATGCAGTAAAAGAAATGCTACAGAAAGGGGTGCTGTAAGAAGAGATGCTGCAGGAAAGGGTGATGTAAAAAGAGACGCAGTAAAAGAAATGCTACAGAAAGGGGTGCTGTAAGAAGAGATGCTGCAGGAAAGGGTGCTATAAAAAGAGACGCAGTAAAAGAAATGCTGCAGAAAGGGGTGCTGTAAGAAGAGATGCTGCAGGAAAGGGGTGCTGTAAAAAGAGACGCAGTAAAAGAAATGCTGCAAGAAGGGGTGCTGTAAAAAGAGATGCAGTAAAAGAAATGCTGCAGAAAGGGGTGCTGTAAGAAGAGATGCTGCAGGAAAGGGTGATGTAAAAAGAGATGCAGTAAAAGAAATGCTGCAGAAAGGGGTGCTGTAAGAAGAGATGCTGCAGGAAAGGGGTGCTGTAAAAAGAGACGCAGTAAAATAAATGCTGCAGAAAGGGGTGCTGTAAGAAGAGATGCTGCAGGAAAGGGTGCTGTAAAAAGAGATGCTGCAGGAAAGGATGCTGTAAAAAGAGACGCAGTAAAAGAAATGCTGCAGAAAGGGGTGCTGTAAGAAGAGATGCTGCAGGAAAGGTGCTGTAAAAAGAGACGCAGTAAAAGAAATGCTGCAGGAAGGGTGCTGTAAAAAGAGATGCAGTAAAAGAAATGCTGCAGGAAGGGTGCTGTAAAAAGAGATGCAGTAAAAGAAATGCTGCAGAAAGGGGTGCTGTAAGAAGAGATGCTGCAAGAAGGGGTGCTGTAAAAAGAGACGCAGTAAAAGAAATGCTGCAGGAAGGGTTGCTGTAAATAAGAGATGCAGTAAAAGAAATGCTACAGGAAAGGGTGATGTAAATAAGAGATGCAGTAAAATAAATGCTACAGGAAAAGGTGCTGTAAACTGAGACGCAGTGAAAGAAATGCTGCAGGAAAGGGTGATGTAAAAAAGAGACGCAGTAAAAGAAATGCTACAGGAAAAGATGCTGTAAACTGAGATGCAGTAAAAGAAATGCTGCAGGAAGAGGCGCTGTAAACAGCGATGCTGTAGAAAGGGGTGCTGTAAAAAGAGACGCAGTAAAAGAAATGCTACAGGAAGAGGTTGCTGTAAAAGAGACGCAGTAAAACAAATGCTGCAGGAAAGGTTGCTGTAAAAAGAGATGTAGTAAAAGAAATGCTGCAGAAAGGGGTGCTGTAAGAAGATGTCGCATACGACTTGTTTACCACTTCCGTGTGACTGAGAATGTTCTAGAACCGTACTGTGTATGGGTAGAATTTTTAAAAGTTGGTTGAATAGGTAATAGGACACTGTAGAAAGCAATAGAAGGTAATGGAACATTCTAGAAATTTGTAGTAAGTTCCAGACTCATTATGTATGCTGATGTAATGGTCTATTTATAGACAGTGTGGGTATATATAGGGGAGTTGTTCAGCACTGAGATCAGATCGGAGATCTCGTTGAATTGTATTGGAGTTTAAGTATCTAGTTATTGGAGTAGTGGAGTTTTACCGCGTTATTGTACTTGATGTTTGCAGAGTATAATAATACAGTACCAGTTGAAACCTCATCTGTTGGCTGTGTTCGTATTTTATCATCGCCGCCAGGGAAGTCTTTTTGTTACTGTTGCCATTTTGGTATTTGAACCATCACACCTGTACTATACCAATTACGGTAATATTACGTTGCGTGTGACAGAAGAGATGCTGCAAGAAGGGGTGCTGTAAAAAGA